TACTCCTTACACTTTGCCAAACAGTAGCAAAACTGAGTTACCAATTTTTTTTTCATTGCATCTGCATTGAAGTTTTAATAGTGAGTAAGTAGTTAAGTCTCATAGCACGTAGTAGGAAAAGCATGGAAAAAGTTTCAGGAAAAAAAACTGCACAAGGCTCCTGAGATGAGCTCTGCTCCCTCCTAGGACCCAGAGGAACCTAATTTCCCAGTTGACTGAGGACTCCTCAGAGGCCGGTAGAGAAAATCCACGTTTGGAGGGGCAGAGCAACGCACTTGGGGCCGACAGCCTCGCTCTTCCCCTGCGTTGCCTGCCAAAGAGACGATGAAAACAATTATTCCACTCTGTTAATCAGTATATTTAAAATACTGATACGACTTCTCCAGTCCTAGCCTTCCCAAAACAAGTTCAATTAACACATCTTAGATCTGAGCTTTGGCAACTTATTTTAATGTTGTGATTTAAATCCATTGTATTAAAAGTAATTTCTTGGGTAAGTCATTTTCCCTCTACCATTGCCTTTGTTTCCCTGTCTTGAGTACAGAAACTAATGAGATTTTCTTTCATTTAAAATGCTCTTAAGTCTAGGCATGAGACATACTGTGGAAGAAACATTAAATGTGTGGGTTTTTTGCACAGAAGAAGTGTTTATGTAAGACGCAGCTTTTTAATAGCTTAACAAATCTAGTAACTGACGGGACTGTGACCATGCATGAAGAGTTTCAACCTGTACAGGGAGAAAAAGATAATTCAAGCCAACTGTAAATGGAAGTTCTTTCCCATCTTAACTATATGGTATTATCATCAATCACTAAAACCTTTTTCCTGTATAATCTCACTTTTTTTTTCATACACAGTTTGATGTGATATTGTAATTTCAACGTTTATAGACTTACACATGGGGATTTTTTTGTTGTTGTTGCCTGTTAGGATATTGAAACAGTGACAGCAGGGAGTGAGTAAAGTAGATATAACCAGGTTACTTTTTAATACTCATATAAAGTTTTACCTCAGGGAAGTAATGAAAAACATGTAATTTAAGTTATTTATAATGTGACTTGACAAAAATTTGGAAAAAGAGATGACAATATCATACAAAAAGAGTTTTTCTTCTTTAATTTCTAGTATTATATTTGAACTATCCCTTGTTCTATGTTTTTGCAATTCAGAGGCCAGTATAGGAAGAAATGTGATCGTTATTTTGTGCAAAAAAAGGTGTGCGTATGCATATATAAATACCTGTGTATTCTTCTTTTTATATGTAGCTGGATATATACGTGATGTAAATGTGTAAGGTTTATATGTAGCTGGATATATAGATGATGTAAATGTGTAAGGTATCTATTACTATGATGCTGTGGCTCATTGTATTTAGCATTTACACTTACATAGTCCTCAAATAATTATTTTGGTTTTTTTTTTTTAAAGGCCTCATGTTCAACTGCAAATTAAAAGTTTGGCAGAGCACACAAATTCATTAGCGCAGAGGTCAGGTGTGCAAAAACCTTGAAATTTTGAAATGAGGCCCTCACCTGGGTTCTGAAATGGTTAGAAATAAGATATTTTGTGTAGATGTTTGCTTCCCCACTTCTGCTTTAAGCCAGGCAGTCATCAATTATTTTGTAAGTCAGGGATGAATTTCTGGTGTCATTTTTTCCAATTTTCTCTTTCATGATTGTGATTAAAAAGCCTTCCACTCTTGTGTTATCTTCTATTATTTGAACTCAATAACTTTCTGCTTCCTGATACATGAAAATAATTAGATGATGGTTGGATAAATAATGCATCTAAAACCAGAGCAGAGCTGGATAAATAACAGATGAAAATTGCCCTGTTAGCGTAATAAGTCTGAAAAATATTTTTCCATCTGGGTAGGGTCCTGAGCTAAAGTTACCTTGTTAGCCCATTTCTCAGGGAAGAGAAATCTTGTTGTGCAGAATGAAACTGAAAATAGTGGTGGGGAAAAATGCAGTCGCTCTTCGCACCTTTTCGGGAGCTGAAACAAGAAGAAAATTGGGGAGTAACAGAAACAAGCGTGTCCTGGTGTTGGAGCAGTTCTTAGCACTGATGGTGTTCAGGGGGAGACTCCTATGGGCTGTGAGAGCCAAATCTAGCGTGGTGATGATTAGAAGTTGAAACAAACAGCAAAAAGCCACCAGTGCTGTTGTGCTCATATTTCTCTGTCAGATGGAGCGGCTGCTACGTGTCTCCGGGAGTAGCAGCTTAGTAAATGCACCACATCACGTTCTGAATCTCTCGTCCCTGCCTCTCCAGGGAATGAGTTAAGGATGTGTAGAGGAACAATGCAAATAATCTTTTTCTTTCTCGGGGAAAAATGTAGCTTAATTCAAGCTAGTATTGCAAAACAGATAAAATAAGGTCTAGGCTGTTGTTGTATGCAGAAATATCTGAGGTGGTAGTCAGTATATCACTGGCAATTTAGTCTGAAAATAGTGTTTATTAACCCAAATGTGTTAGACTTGAAAAATTAAGCAATATGAAGATAAGAGATGCTCTGTCCTGGATGATGGTGTCAAGCTTGGCAAATGTCAAAAATGCAAATGAAAAGGCAAATCCACGGGACCAGACAGCACATCAGGCAGGGCAAGGCAGGGCAGGAGAGAGAGCAGGCAGGAGAACACCAACAGAAGAGACCTACAGAGAGACAAACATTGGTTCTTTCTTTGAGGGAAAAAAAAAAAAAAAGAAGAAACAAAGATAATGTAGAATTAAAGTTCTGGATTAAGATACTGTTTTCTCTCTTTGGATCTGCAAAGTAAAATTAACATTTGTGTCTTCCTGTAGTATAGAGGTGAGTTATAGAGCTTTATTCAGATGGTAGAGTTCAGTAGATCTAAATCTGAAGTGTAAATACGTGAAGAGTATGTGTAATTCTGAATATATAAATTTGGGTTTTTATTTGGTTTGTTTGGATTTTTTTTTACAAACTTTGCTTCTTGTACTTACATCCCCATAGGCACTGCAGAAAAACTATTGTACTTTTTTCTGACTTTATTGAGTTTCATTTGCCCTTAGGATTTCTATAGAGTAGGTTTATTTGAATTGAAACAGTATTATCGTAGTTGTGTAAGTGAACAGAAGTGTTAATATGGCACCTATAGCTATAAAGGTTATTTTGTGGTGACACAGTTTTCCTAGCATACAATAACAAAACCACAATTTAGGCATGAAATTCACTTTGGAGTGAGAGGAAATACTAAAATAATATCTTTATATGTTGCAGGAGTTACCTCACTGGCTAGTGAAATGCAGCTGTTTCTGGGGCTTTAACATAACTCTGCAAATACCCTGGAACAGTTTAGGGTAATTTTGAGAATAACTTAAATGAAAATACCCAAGTGCACAAGGATGCCTTGGTTTATCCAAAGTACACTGGGTTGGAGAGTAACCATAAGGGATTCATGCAATGTCCTCCAGAAAACTACACCAGATCATTATTTAGATAGTGCTTTTTATTTGTTTAAAACCATTTTATTTTATTGGGGGGCCCTAGTTTAACATGCATTAAAGAGACCCGACTATGCCATGGTGATGTCCATGTGAAGAACATCATGAACAAATAGTCATGAAATACATCCTTGCTATGTGAACTTCAAAAATAAAGAAGGGAGCAATTGCTTAAATTTAAGAGTGGACATTACTTCTATCCCAGCTCAAAAAGTGTTTCCTTCAGATGATATGTAATAGCTTTTTCTTTTTTTTCTGTATGTTTTTATACATTTTCTTTAAAAATTTAATTTCTAATCCACTGAGAATCAGTAGCATCTATTTCTTTTTATTACAAGCTAGCTTGTTAATTTGATAAAGAGTCTGTCAGCATTTCTTTTGCATATTTTTTTCCTTTGTGTGCTTTAAAAAAACTCCCACTACACTGTATATTATTCAACCATTTGTGGCTTGAAACATTGCCTAAATGCTAGCTTATGTTTCCCCATTTTCAGCCCGTAGCTTTTTATGTCTGACAACTCCGGTTTTGCAGCAATAACATCGAGTTCCTGCTATGCTTAGAAAAACACCACCCATTTAAAAATATCATCTGCCACCATTTTGTTGCACAATGGGTAGATCTACTTTGGAGGATTGCAATGTTTTGTTTGACTCATGAGCTGTTTTTTAGACATGAGGTTTTTATATAAATTCCAAAATGCTTTTGCCTTTCACGGCTGATCACTTTTTGGAAAAGTCAAAGTGGAAGGTTTCTGGCTGACTTCCACGTGTAGAAGAGCCTTCAAAAAGTCCTTTCTCTGTGTGTTCATTGTACTAATATTAAGCCAAAGTTTGTAGAGACTTCACTCCTTGGAAGTACTATCTCTGTTCTGTCACCAGTCTTATCTGCTAAATCCCAACAAGTGTGAAAAACGAGAAAAATCTGGGTTTGCTTGGCTGTTTCAACAATGTGTTGAGAATGGCCAGATTGCTGGAGAAGATGATTCTCTTGGAAACCTCAACAGCCCGGCCTCCTCATCTGTAGGCACATATAGCTCATCTGAGTGTGTAAATAAAAATAAATAATGCAGTGAAAAAATATGCACAGTATTTTGCTGAAGTGTTTCAATTTTTGATCTGCCATAACTAATTTAAATCCTCTGTTAGGATTTATGCAGGCAAAGGGTCAGGTTTAAAACACTTATAAATTAAAGCTTTTCCTGTTATTACACCTTTTCTACTTTTATATCCTACCATCATATCTTTTTTCTGCAAAGAAAGTCCCTTTTATTCCCTCTTCCTTTCCTGCTTTGAAGAGAACATTTGCTTCTCCATTTATCCAAGGTAATGAGAACGGAGTACCTCTGGATTCTTTAAATCAGTCTAATTGGGCTTCTTTTAGTGTATAGAATATCCTTTTTTTTTGCACAGGACTCTCATTTCTTTGTGCAGTGTCTCCGTCTCCAGTACTCGATACCCTACATGCTTTTTTAATTAAAAAAAAAAAAGGCAATTGTCATCCAAATGTCTACGGTCTCTATTCTCTATTCCAGGCTGATTCATGGAGGGCAGCTGTTAAATGGCTTGGCGGGGCCGACTGTGATGAATGCGGCACCATTTCTTTCCACGACGTGGTTTTCTCCGGATGAACGTGCCACAGCGACAGCCATCGCGTCGCTGCTCAGTTACCTGGGCGCTGCCGGCGCCTTCCTGGTGGGACCTCTTGTAGTGCCATCTCCTAACGGGACATCTCACCTCCTGCTGGCATCGCAGAGCAGCACCGAGCACATCAAGGACCGCATTGAGGCTGTGTTGTATGCAGGTGTGGTTTAAGAATAAAAAATTATTTTAGAAAACAATATATAAAAAAATTTACATACTTTCCCAAAAGTACTTGGGAACCACTACCCTCTAGTGGCTGGTCTGCAAAGAAAATAGTTACTAACTGATGGAAAAAAGTGGTAAAATGTTGTACCATCACAAGGGTTAATTTATTTTTTTTCCCTTCTGTGCAGTAAAGATTTACAAATAGTCTTTTGTACAGACTAACTGCAAACGAAGTATTTAATGTATCAGCTGATCTGGGGAGAAATATCTTCTAGGAAAGCTTATGCTTTCCCTGAGCTTGCAGACTGGTTTTTGCTTCTTGAATTTTCATTAAAAAAATGTGTCCGTGACAGGTTGGGTTTTTCCTTTTGTTTCTGTAAGGATGGATATCAAATAGTCTTTCCGCATTAAGTTTGTTCCTATTAAATCAGTCTTAATTTATGACTTGCATAAGGCTTTCAAACGTGATTAGATTATTAGTATTTAAGAATCTAACATTGAAATGAAAACTTAGTAGATTTTGGTTTTAAATAAAACCACATAATTCTTCTGTGGTGAACAATTTCAATGAAGTGGCAACAATTTAGTAGAAAAAATCAGTGATATAAAATTCACCTGATACAACTTAGATTTTATGTCATTGCTGTTTTTCATGCAATGGTTTCTATGGCTCTTTGTGTCACTTGCAAAAACTAGCAGCAAGCCGTAAGGAAAAAGAGTTGCCTAAGTGCTTAATAGTCTACAATCTGATTTTTAGTGATTATAAATTGGTATAGCATGAAGAGCAGCTTAACTTTACTATGTCATGGTAGTTGCACATTTGGTTGGGTTTTTCCCCCCTTATAATTGCAGCCTCTGAAATTCAGCCAGGAGTCAGCCCTAAGTGTTCCAGAAGTCTTAAAGTATATATACTGTGTAGTTTATATGCAGGTTTATGGGATTGAGTTGGCTGTTTGTGATCATTTATTCCTGGACGTTATTCTTATGGAAATTTTGTCCAGTTAATACTCCTGATGGGTGAGGGCCACTTCACTGTTCTTTTTAAAGAAGGCGTAGTAGAATTTGGATGACTATTTCAGCAAGTATTTCTGAGTAACCTGCTTTTTACCGGACTCAAATGTATCGGAACAACAAGGAAATTTAAGTTTGGTTAGGCATTTTTCAGAAGTAAATATAATGTTAGACTCTGGAAATCTCATGGCAGATGAAAAGGGCCAGTGTGAAAGAAGAAATGAGGCAAGTCAGCTTTTGTCATGAGGAGCAGTAGATATGGGGAGGACAAATCTAGCAATTAGAGAAGTGCTTTATCTCTCCCTCTCTAGATTTTTTGTGGTGAGATAAAAATTTGTCTGCCTAAAGGAAGTACAGTATTGTGTCTAAAACCACTGGTTTGAGTCTGGTAGCATTAGAAATGTTGCTTTGAGCAGTCCATTAGATTCACTTTCTCCTCTTTTCTCACCTGGGAGGTTTTCCTAAGCATTTTCTTCAGAAACTGTGGTGGATCTTGCTTGCCACCAAGGTTCAGTGGCGTGTCTGCCCCATGTCTCAGCATGGCTCTTTCTGAACCAGCAAGGATTTGGGAACATCCTGTAGACCTGTTTGGGACTGTTAATCCCAGTTTATGATGATCTTACAGCAGCTGTTCAGCTTCCTATGAAGAGGGGTTTGTGGGGCATCAGTAGTTCTTACTTGGTATTTGAAAGTCCTTTGAACAGAGGTGGATTTCTTTGTGCAGCTGTGCTTGTAGTCGTGTTCTGTGGGGTGCATCTTTTCAGGAGCTACAACCCCTTTTGCTGTTCAGGCAATGAAAAAGAGCTGGTTCCTGAACGTTACTGGCCTGTGGTGGATCGCAGCGATGGTGGCAAAAACATCCAACTGGTTTAAAATAGGAACTGTCAAAGAGGAGGTTGCTTTGAGTCCCTGTCCCAGGGATTTGTCCTGTCTCAACTCTGCCCTGTTTCCATGGAGAGCTGAAGGAGCAAAGTCCCTCCTGCCTGCCTCCCTGGCCTCTCTTATGCCAGGGAGGCTCCAGAGGTGGAAGGATGGCTGCCTTCTGACGGGTTACCACCTCGGGTAGCTGTACAGCTTTCTTTACCTCTAGACTGAAAAACACCTGATAGGTAGGTATTATTTGTCCCCTTAATCTGCCTGGCAAAGAACAAAGCTCAAATTGAATTCACAGATTACTAGTAAAGGTCTTACAGAACATAGCAGAACAAGGAGCTGGACCCAAGTGTCCCACTTCCCAGCTTATTCAACAAGCGTGGTCAGGCTTGGTGTGATTCCTCCTTTCAGATATTCTGGGAAAGCCACCTGCACAGGATAAGCCCTCTGCATTCCTCGTAGAGTTGTGTTTGTGGTGGAGCTTGTTGCTCTTGTGTGAGGTAGTGTTAGATGAGCAGCCTCCAAAAGTTCAGTGATGAGTTTTAGAAGACATTAATGATATGAAATATTAACTTGACATCAGTAGCATGCCAAGAGCGTGCTAACTTTCCAAGGACTTAGCCTCAAACATGATTACGAAGCAATTGCTTGTAAACTCATTCCAAAATGGCTCAGTTAACTCCACTCTCTTCTATGTTCTAATAAATTGCTGTTGCTTTATCTCAGATGCAGACTAAGAGCTCGGCTGAATTACCACAGCCTCTTTCTGTGTCATCTGTGTCTCTGCACATTCTGGTTCGCAGCTGAAATAGTACAGACATAGCAAATCAGGATTGAATTGTATTACCTAAACTGTATAAGGAAGGTTGAATTATTCTGGACTGCAGCCAGAGCTTTTAGCCATGTGCTTTCTTAAATATCAATGTGAAAATATTTTATTTATATATTTTTTTAAATTGTGTGTGTAAAGTACCCTCATTCCCCCTTTGCATTTCAGGATGAGATGGGGAGGAAAGTCTCTGGGTTTGGGTAGGTTATTGTGCTCTGAGTAGCACATTAGAAGGAAAATGAACTCATATCGGGGAGGCTTGTGTCTCTGTGAACGTCTTTTTCCTGTTTGGGGCTTAAACAGCCAGCAGGGTGCCTCCTTCCTAGGCTGAGATGTAGGCATCTCTCCACTTTGACAGTCACAGGTCGCTGTGGTATGGTACCCAGCTCTTGTGAGGCATTCTCACTCCTCAGGTAGAGTTACACACAGCTGTATTTGTGCACAGTAATTTATGCTGATTTGCCCAATTCTGCATGCTTTGCACTGTTGAGAAGCCAACAGTCAGCTCCCATGGAAGAGTTCCTCTTGTGACTACAACTCCCTTGGTCTCATTATTGACCTATTTCTTACCTTTTATCTTTTGCTTACGTTTATTCCCTACTTACATTCCCAGGACAAGTCTTAGACTGTATTTTTCTTTATCTAGTGTGATAGAATAAATGATGATGGAGATAAAGGTATGGGTTTCCTAATGAGGAAACAGTGCAACATATAAGAAATCAGATGTGTTTGGCAGGATGTAGGTTTTTGATAGAGATGCCAAGTGTGATACACAAAGCCAAGATGGCACTAAAGACTTTTATTCTTCAATAGATGGAGCTGCTTTAGTTTCTAAAGTGAATTCTGCTCTTTTCTTGTGTGCATGAAGGCAGTGCTTGCAAGGCAAATTTGTTAACTTGGTAAGTATAACACTGGGAAACATTAACGAGTTGCAAGAAGGTACTACAAGGACTGCATGCTGAATTTAATAATTAAAATAAAAATATAAAGTGTTACTATACTGCTCCTACTGCAGCGATTTCACTGGCAGGAATCTTGAGCCAACTCGTAGAAGAGGCCCCAACTGGGCACCTCTACATTCTTTAGAAAAAGACCTAGCCTTTCCCCTTACGGCGTTGCTGTGTAATGAAGTTTAAATAATAAGCACCTCGCACAAAGCTTATGGGTTTGTGTGGTCACATTCTTGTTGGCTATACTTGCCTGCAGTCTAAAATCTTCCTTTAATATATGATTAAAGCACACTTATACATGTACATATGTATACCTATAAACCTGTATGTAGACCTAGGTGCAGGAGAAGGGGATAAACAGCTTTTGGCAAGCCTTGTTTCCCTGTCCAGTATCATACTGTAGTGCCAGAGCATCTCATCCATTTCTTAGACCTGGGTTCATCAAGTTATGGCCAGTTCTTTATTCACTACTTGTGGTCTCAAAAACAATGTACACGAAGATAGAAATTAGTCTGTTTTCTGGAGAACAGAGGAAATACAGTGAGAAGGTCTAGTTAAGGTGCCCTTGACCATCAAAACATGCAATTAGACCACAACAGTAAAAAGAGACACCACATAATTCAGACTTAATCTTTTGGTATTTGATAGTGAAGAATGGCATTGTCACATTCCTGGTATGCCTGCAAAAGAAATTTAGTATAGACTTTTTTTTTCCATGTACCGAATAGAAGCATTCATTTCCCTTCCCCATCTCCAGCTGATCCATTTAGACTTTGAGTGTTATTTACTTTTCAGTTTCCTGAATGTATTTTCTTCTGGTTTAGCAGAAGAGCTGGCAAAATGCCATGATCATATTGATTTATTAAAAAAGAGAAGAAAAAAGAAAATGAACGCAATTGAATATCCAGCTCTGCTGGAATTTATTTGTGGTGTCAGTGAACACTTCTTTGTTATAAGATTACAGGTTCTTTTAAGATAACACATTTCAGCTATACATTTTTCTTTCCAGCAGCAAAGAATCTTGTTTTCAAAGGGGATAGGAGAAATATTGGGATTGAGAACTGTGGAGAACATGATATACATTGTAAAAGGCCTGTAAAACAAATTCATTACACTGACTGTGCATAGAGTTGTTTTTTCTCAGAATGTCTGATCATGCTGCGTATTTTCTGTGAAGTGCTCATCACTTTGCAAGTTCAGGTCCAAATTTCTGCTATGAAATTTTTCAAAAATCTGGAATGCCTGCTGCTGAACAGGAGGAGCATCTGCAAACAGCTGCATTCTTTCATTTTTCTCCCTGTTACCTCTGCTCCCTCTATTCCTCAGCCACGGCTGCTCCTACACTTTTCTCTTTATATTCTGTTGCCATCTGATACTGTTTGTGTCCGAGAGGCTGCCTTGCTTGACCTTTTGTTTGCCTTCATCATCCTGTGCGCTGAGTAATTGTCCTTCTGTGCCCTGGGGCTTCCCCAGTCCCATCTGTTTAAAGTCTCTGGCACGCTATTACCTGCACCGTGCTACTTCCATCACAAGGAGACGTGGCCAGATCTTCATAATGCAGGTCTCTCTAAAGAGACAAAGCAAAAGCTTTCCCTGTGCTTCGCTGAGTTCCCCATGTGTGAGCCTGGTGCTCTGCAGCTCCTATCACTGGAATGGCCAGCCAGTATTCCCCCATCTCATTGATCCTCCATCTCGATTTGAAATCTTGCTTGGGGAGGAAAAAAAGAAATTCTCCTTCGAGTTATGGAGTTCTGTTGTCAGGAGCAGTAAAGCACTTGTGGTGGGATTTACGTATCAGAGGCTGGCTGATCGCAATGCTGCGCTGAAAAAAGTCTTTTGATGCTAACATCTGTTCTCGGTTTTGTTTTTCTTTGCCCTCTTGTTTAGAATTTGGAATGGTTTCCCTGATATTTTCTGCAGCGTTGGCCTACTTCCCCTCGCGCCCCCCGTTCCCCCCCAGCGTGGCTGCGGCGAGTCAACGGCTCAGCTACAGGAGAAGTTTTTGCAGACTCTTAAGGTGGGTCCTCACTGAGTTTCCACTTCAAAGCAGATCAGCACCTAAATAAATAAAAACAAGTGTGCTTTAATCTTCTCATTGAGCAAACAGGTTGGTTTATAGTGCTTTTAAACAAAATAAAATTAAATATTAATGCTGAGACATAAAAGGATGCTAACTGCTAAAAAGCAGACATTAAATTTTAAATCATTGGGTATATCTCAAGCTTTCATGCCAAAGTCCTTCAGCACCAACACTGCTTCAGTTATCCTGTTAGCATGGCTTTTATTATGCAATGCTTCTGGCACATCAGGTTATACAAGATTGTTAACAGTGTGCGTACTGCTAGGTGTGAGATGATAACAATTAACAACACTGGGCATAACTAACTAATAAGCTGCTTTCTTCCGTGCTTGTAATATTGGAATGAATTTGGGGTTTGCATGTCATTCAAAGGAGTATTCAGCTGTGGGAGCAATGAATGAACTATTTGAGACAATTATTTCTCATTAATTGTATGTTAAATTATGAAGTGGGAATAGGAGAAGTGTCTCCAGATGTGTTTCTGGACAGGTTCAAATGTGAGTTAGTTTCCTTTAAACTTGGGGGGCTAAAAAAAAGGGTTATAAAGAAAGTGACATCTCTGGCTTTGCAGCTTCTTCCACTTGGGCTCTTTTGGTAGGACACAGCCCTGTCCCCCTAGTTTTTTACAATGTCTTGTGTAATAGGAATCTGATCTCAGAGGAACAACTGTGATATTAATGCTGAATAATTGTGAAGCCCTGTACGTGATACTGCACAAATGAGCTTCCTGGGGCAAAGAAGAACCGCTCTCGTGATGTGGAGTGTGGCTGACTTCACTGAGGAACTTCAAACTCTTGCTGTAACTGTTTCTTGTGTGATGTAGTGATAGGAGCTGAATCTGCATACAAAGGGCTGCTTGATACTTAGTAACTGTGGAGCTTTAGGCATTTAATTATTACAGACGTAGTCTGGGCTGTACTTTACAAAAGTGTATTTAGAGCCAGAAAAAACAACTCAACCCTTGTTGCCGTTTGGTTTTTTTCTTTTGTTTTTGGAAGCTTTTGTTTGAGTTTGGGGGAGTAAATAGTTGACAAGATGCTTAATCCTGTGTGTTCATCCTGGAGCAGGCTGGCAGTTGGGAGAAGGTGTGAATACAGCTGGCTGGTTAGTCTGCAAAGTGACCTACTCAAGATATTAAAAAAAATAGCAATTCCCATACGGACACTTAGCACACACACAATAATGCTGTTATGCATCCAAGCTGGTGTGCAGTGAGACCCTGCCTGAGGGCTGTGTTGTAAAAATGTTGCTGTTGAATAGAAATCCAAACAGCAACTGACTCCGCAGGTGAAATATAAAATTTCTGTTGACAGTACTTCATTTGGGAGCTTTATAACCGTTAGACTGCTTGTTCAAAGTGTTGTAAACAGTGGACCTACAATACTGGTAAGGTCAAGAGGTAAACAGCAAAATTGGCTTACTATTGGCAATCAATGATACTTAAGAAAACAAACTGGACGCTTAAATAATGAGCATGGTTTATAGTGTTTCCAAGAACCAAGAGGTTTTTTTAAAATGCGGTCAGGTAGATCATTACATCTTCCTTCCCTCTAGTCTTTTTGCATTCTTCCATGCTACCCCTTATCAAAGGCACTTCTTGATTCCTCTGTACATGCAACAATCAACAGTTCATCATTAAACCCACTTATCTTGAGGAGCCTTTCAGCAGCAATCCATCAAGCAAGGGGGTTTTATAAAAGCAAATGGTATCTGCCGTGCTTCAAGAGAAATCCATCATCTGGTTCGTTAGGCTTCTAAGCTCTTGTTGCTTGCCTAATCTAGGCTTCATAATTCTTGGCACAGAGAGTCCTTCTTGTGACTTAATGGTGTAGACTGAGGGTAATCAGCTGATAAGTACCAGGAAATCATGATTTCCCCTTATTGCAGACTCTGGTATAAATACTGTGTGTAAGGCATTTAGGATATATGTGAGCTGGTGGGCTGACCCAACTATGCACCAAAAAGCACTCATGAGAATTGAGATGTTCATCATTTCCCTCTTCTCTCCCGCAGGCTGCAGTTTTACACTTCAAAATAAAGCAGCGTAGCATAACTTTACCATTGAAGTCATTGACCTTTTTCCTTGGACGCCAAAGGGATCTATCACATCTTGCAGCTCCCACACTCCTTCATGGCTTCAGGTCCTTGAGCAGTCATCTTCGTGAGCTGCTTCTTGCAGAGTTATATGTATCTTCTTAGGGTCAACCATCTCCTCTAAGCCATTTTTGGGGGACTTGCTTAGGACCTTGGTTCTTCCTCAAGGTTTGGAGGATTCCTGCTTCTAACAGAGTATAATGATTAGCTGATCTGAGGTTATCTCCTGATACCAGTTCCCTCAGCCTGCAGTGGGAGATGACAGATTAGTCATGGTTTGGGAGCTAAGCCCAAATCTTTTAACAGTCTATCACACACTGTGACAAGTGTAGTTTGAATTTCCATTAGAAAAAGTACAGTGCCCTTTCTCAGTTTCTTGGGTGAAGCAAATATGACTTGTTTTTTCCCCTTCTATTTTAGAATGCACCACAAATTTCCATGGAAAAATACAAGTAAATAGTTGATAAGTCAAAATCTGCATTAAGAAAATGTTGTGATTTTTGCTTTGAAGTAATTAGATGCTTTTAGCCTTTTATATTTTCAAGAGACTATGTAAGCAATTTTGGAATTTCATAACAGGGGTTTTGTGCATCATTATTTCTTTAATGAGACTTCCATATGACACCACCATCCAGTGATGGAAGCTGCTCAAAGTGGGCCTGATGTTAGCAGGCACTGTCAAAGTTACTCTGGAAATGGTGACTGACTTTGACGGGGCTCCCTTCTGAACCAGCCCATTTCACAGATTCTAGTGGCGTTAAGTAGGTTTCTGAAAAAAACAGAAGAAAAAGCCAATTCGTATTCCAGCAGAATGGTTTAACAGAGAGGCTAATGCTGATATCCTGTCATAAGGGCTGACACGACGGAAAACAGTGTGGGTTCACCAACTGATGGTGTGACAGACAGCACATTTTTCTATTTTCAGTGGAGCAATTGCAAAATTTTAACAACAAATACAAGTGAGTGGAGCCATGAAAAGCGGAGCTGCTGTTCAAGATGTGTGTTTCAAATAGTTCTTCACACAGCCAGCGCTAGCTCCTGCTGGACAAGGGGACAGAATGGCATCTGGTGATCGGTGCTGCTTTGTCACTGCCACTCACCATTTCTCCTGGTCACCTTCTTTATTCTGGAGACTAGGCAGGGTGACAGGGTGGGAGCCTCTGTTACTGGAGGATGTTATATTGCAGAGCTGCTTCTCTAGTGTTGGCACTAGGGGTTGGACGTGGCACAGAGCAGCTACCCCACGTGCCAGTCCGTCTTGTTGCTTGAGTTACACAAGACAAATATGCCACAGGAGATCTTGGTCAAGTTACAAAGTACTCATCCCCGCCAAAAGTAGCTCTTCAATGAAGACAAGGTTCAGATACCCAAAGTGTTATTTCAGAACAGCGGATTCAGACTTGTTCCCTCTCTGCAGTCTATGACATGGCTATATAATGTCCATGCAAAATGGGTCCTTTCTTTTCCTTTTATTGTGTTCTACAGATGTTGAATCAGCTTTTACACGTGTAGCACTAAATAGCATCAGAAAACCTGCCTTAAGAGATGCCAAGATGATGCACGATAGACAAGGATGAGAGTATGGCATTCTTAAGAGAGAGAGTGAGTTGTCAGAAGACAGCAAATGCTTTAGCGTTCAGAGAAATACAAGCAGCGCGTGGAAGAGCTGAAAGTTTGGGAGTTGTTTTTCTTTGCGCTAAAAAAAAAAATCTGACATGAATGATGCTGAAAGAGGAGGATATGTTCATGCGATAGAAACGTGTGATTCAAGAAGAGGATGTGTGAAAAAGAACAGTGCAAAAAAACGCCGGCTGGTGTGCTGTGCGTGGATCTTCTAGGGGAGTAAAACAGCGTAAGCTGCGAGCCTCTAAATGTTTTGGCGAGTATTTGAAGGTTTTTTCCCCTCCCTCTTGGCTTTCATAACTGTGTGCTATCAAATTGCTGGTTCATGCCAAGGAACGGGTACTGTATCAGGATCAATTTTATGTAAATTATTTGCGAATGAGGGGAGCCACATTTTATGGTTACACAGATATCCCATGGGATAACCTTGGAATCACCGTAAAATCTCTTCACTTTTAAAATATCACTGTTGCAGAGTCCAAAGTGTATTTTCTGGTTTTATTCCCAAGTTGAAACATTTTTGAGGAAAAGCTGGGTATCTCTTAGCAAAGATTGCACATTTGGTTTTGGTTACGATGGGTGGGTGGGGGAGATTGGTGGTGGTATTCATCTGCCAACTCCTGTTTAGCTGTGTACGATGAAGATGATGACACAGCTTTGACTGCTTCATCTTCACTGAATACTAAAGGTTGAATAGTTTTAATTGGGAGGAAAAAGCTAACACGTTGACTGTTTAGAGCAGAATACTATACTTGTCTCTGGTTTTTGACAGTTCAAACTGTCAAAATTTTCTGCTCTTGCAACTGTACCCATCTCATTCCCAGACCTCTCCCTGCTTTTCTCCAAAATAAAGAGAGGTAAAACAGTTAACAAAAAAAAAAAGAAGTAGAGCTTAAAAAGTATGAATCTCTGATTTTATTCTTGAAATACGCTTTTTGTCATTTAAATTAGTGCTTATTGTTCCTAACATACACTTAGGCTAAGTAGGTTGCCCATGCAAATGCATGGAAGATTTGCTTGAGGAAATGAGAAACACATGAGCCTGGCATGTTAAAAAAATCTTTGAACTATGTATAGAGACTGGATTGTTTTTTATTATCACAGTGCTAAAGCAGTAAGATCTCGGTCACTGGAATTTCAAGACATGACTGGTTACCTTTCTTGTTTTTCCTGGCTCATTTCCTCTTCAAACCTCTGCTATTTTTCTTGATGGGCAGAATATAGGTTCTAGGGTGTCATTTACTCCAGCAGCTAATCTTGTTGTAATTTCTAATATAAGATGCAGCTAATTGCATGTGTTTTGTTTTCACAGCAATTTCCGATTCTTGATGATTGCTTTAGCTTATGCTATACCACTGGGTGTTTTCTCTGGCTGGTCTGGTGTTCTGGATTTGATATTAACGCCAGTTCACGTAAGCCAAGTAAGTATCTCCTGACTGGTAATCAGTAAGTGGCTATTTTGTAAGTGGCATGCTTTTATTTTGCACTAGAATATAATTTTATCAGGTTTTTATGTTTAAGCTGTTATTAATACATGCAGATAACTTTGCTCCTGAAACTTTAAACAAAGTAAACTGTAGTTTTGGCATCCCAGACTGTCACGGTTTTCCCTGCTGACTCTCCACCAGCAGTGGGTGTTTCAGAACCATATGCACCTTTTGACAAGAAGGAAGAGATACGTAAACAAACAGGAGAATTGTTGGCTGCTGCACCTTTAGTAAAAGAAAATAAAGTTTACCAGGTGGAAGTGATGAAATGGGGAGAAGAGGATTTCTAGGCTTTTGATGGAGTGTTATGAAAATCCAGGGGCTGTTACTCAGCCTCTGTAAAGAGAGGTCACATTTAGGGCATAGGCTACTTAGTCATACTTTTTTTAAGTGAATTTATTTCCTTTTGAGTATCCTAGAAAAAGTCTTGAACTTCAGGTTGTTGTCGGGGGCTGTTGCTAGCAGTTTGCAGCTCCTGCTTACCATTTGTTTTGGAAGTAACATCTTATGATCTTATTTTCTCAGCTTTAACACATTCTCTGTCTTGTTTTGTTGTTTTTTTTTCCTGTCAGGTAGATGCAGGCTGGATTGGATTTTGGTCTATAGTTGGAGGTTGTGTTGTTGGCATAGCAATGGCAAGGTAGGAATAATTACATGTCCTTCTTCATCTCTTCCAACTGTGATTGTCATTTAGCTTATTGTCTTAATAACATAAGTTGTTTTCTCTCATCTTCTATGTACTTGAAATGGAAAAAACATAGTTCTGGGCTTACGATGTATTTTTTGTAAAGCAGTGATTTTTATATTCCATGTTAGTTGGTTGCTGGGGGTTGAGAACTCCACGTGTGTACCTCAATTTGGCAAGCCATACTCTTATTCCTGACAAGTGCTTCCTGTATGCTGCTTTTAAACACAGTCCTTGTGAATTCATCTGCCTGGTATGAGGAAGAACCAATTGTAGAACATTTGGAAAGCATTGAGGAAATTAATGTCTGCCTTCTCCCATCAACGCTTTTGGGCATACTGATTCCCAAAGGGATATTGAGAATGTAGCGCAAGCAGCCTACCCTCAATTACATTACATTCCTCAACAGAGAAATTAGTCTGGACCTGTTTTGGCCAAGTTGCTGATTCTTAGATGGCCTAACTATTTTTTTGGCTATACTGCTATGGGTAGTATGGTTGTACCTACACTTTATAAATATCGAGAGACAGCTCTCTGGCCATCATGAATGCTGAGGACACGGGGAGCGGAAAGCAAGGACTGGATTGCCCTCCCAAAAGGCTGCTGCTTTTTCTTCACTGAGGTTCTATTTTTATTTAAAAAAAAAAAGAAAAAAGGGGGGGAGAGAGAAAAAAAAATCTTTTATGAGGTACTCAAGCAGTGAGTTTATAAAACTGATTAAAACCAGCCACATGTTCCCCTTGCATCTGGTGGGTATCAAAGCATTGTCCTGGCTTCTCTATGTCCACTCTTTAGACTCCAGTTCTGCAAAGAGTTTAGCACAAGTGCAAAGTCTGTCATCACTGCAGTCATTGTGGGATTGTGGAAAGAGGCATCTTTTAGGATGGAAATTGAAGCTCTCTTTTTTTTTGCTTGTTGTGCATCATCAGAGTACACAATGCATAAAGAAATGTGAAGTTTCGCATCCTGACATTTTGCAGGCTGCCTAGCAACTGCGACGGAGGGAGAGGAAAAAACTCCTGACCCAGAGGAAAAAAAACCTAGTGCTTCCCTCCCGTCTGCTCCAGATGCAGGCCAAAGGATTTAATCTATTGAAACCAGGTTCACACCATGATTTCCTCTAAAAAGAGTTACTTTTGATTAGCTAAGGTCAGATACTATATTTTGTCTCTAAGATAAGTAGATGTTTAAAATCAGCTGCTGTAAATGAGACAGGTGCCATAGCAGGTTACACGCTGAAGCAGATAGCGTGCCAGTTTAATCCCTCTCATCGTGGGTTAATTTTTCATATATTTTCGACATTTCAATATTAGAGGGGCGCCCTTAGCAGCTCACTTAACTTTGTTAGTAGAGAATCTGCTGACTCAATGCCAGCATGCAAATCTCAATCTTTATGGTAGATTAATTTATTTAATATATTGCCTGGGTTAAGTTTCAGGAAATGCTGACAGTCTCTTTAACTGCTTTAAAATTGCTTTCAAACCTTGTTGAATACCAGTATTTTGTAGCATTCAGAGATTTGCTTTTTGAGTAAATTAAAAAAATACCAACAGTCAGCCTCCAAATATGTCTTTCTAACTTGGGCGATACCCAGTTCAAATGGTAGGGTTTGCACACAGAAAGGGAGGGAGGAGGTGATTTGTCACTCCTGATGGATGACTCTCTCTCCTAGGCCCATTCAGCATTTATCTGTGTAGGGTTGAATCAATGACGAGTCTGACTGTAATCTGCTGAAAGTTGTAATTAGGAAAATTAAGTAATGATTCTTGTCAAGGCTGACAAGTTGATGTATTTCAGTGTCAGAACCATGAGTTGCCAAGCAAGCAGCTCTCTCCCTTAACCACCTTCATCAAGAAGCTGTTGGGTTTTGTTTTAGGGATTTTTTTTCTGATTTTTTTTCTGCTAATTTATCAAAGCAAAATTGGTGCACTTTAGGAATTTGCTCCTTCCATTTTTGTCAATGCAGATTCTATCATTTAGAACTATAACAATGTGAGCCTTGCCCTGAAGCATTTGGTCCTGAACATCACAGTGGGTGTTAAATCATCTATATTTAAAGTAATGCTCAGTTTGGAAATTTGTTTATCTATCTCATTTTCAAAATGGTGCAAGTTTTCCTCAGCACAATACATAAATCCTCCTGCTCTCCACCCACTCCTGTCCCGATAGCCCTGAACTTAGATATGTTTAGGTAATTTGTGTGATGCATTTTTATAATTGAAAAGCCTGGGCTATTTTGGGTAGCTGGCAGGTGCTGTACCCTTTGCTGGCAGCTTTCAAATGATACTGGTTTGAAGGAAAGCCATGTCAAAGAGCGACATTCATATCATTGCATGGAAACATAAATCTATTCCCTTGTCTCAGATTTTTATTTTTTTTAATTATTTTTTTGCCACATTTGCTAATGATCGTGGGTATTTCTGAGGTTTTGTCTTCCATGGCTCTGTTTTTCTTCCTGCTTTTAACCTGCAGTGTAGTCAAAATGCTGAAACTTTATGACACGGTGATAATTTCCTTAGCAACAGACAGTGCTGTCAGCAATGCAGGTTTGTGATTTTAACTGCAGGTTCCAGCCCAGGGCTGGATTTGCTGGGTGGCAGGAGACTGTTACCAGCATTAGGCTTGAAGGTCTGGGTCAGCATACACCTTCTGCCCTGGTGTGCCTGCTTTTTTAGCAGCTGCAAACATCCCCTTGCGTGCTAGATGATGGAGGAGGATTTAAACAGAACAGAGGGTTTTGAGAGCAGATACTGGGGTCAGAGGATAAAATTAATTTCTCATTTTCTGATTGAAACAAGTATTATGAGAAGTTGACTAGATTTACAGTCCTGTAACTAGACAAGAAGCAGAAGTCCCTCCATTATCAAGTTCAGGCTAGTTTGCTGTGTCATTTTTTCCCATTATTTCTGTTGCTGGCTGAATTGAGTAGCTGCATAAACCTTTCTGTTTGTATTTGTCCCTTCTGGGGTCCTGTGATGTCTGAGAGCTCCTTGGAGCACACAGCTACCCCTGATACCCCAAATGGGATCTTGGTGTCAGAAAGAATTGCAGCTGCTCAGTAAAGGTAGATATTTACTCCCCTTAACTATCTTGAATGGTTTAGCTGCATATCATCCTCCCATCCCCACATATCCCTGGTGGTAGGATAGAGATGGAGGACCCCCTGGAGATCCCTTCCAGAGCTGTTGTCTGTGGATGTCCCTCCCTGAAAGCTGGTATTCCTCATCCTGTGTTTTATTAGATGGGATACATATGTAGCTGCTCTTGCCTGTGAGGAGAGGGAATAGTGATGTTTACTGGCAGGCAAAGTGAGGAGTCCCTGTGGAAGACATCTAAAGTTTGCACTTTGAGATGCTTCTGAGAAGCTTTTAAAATTGCTGATTTTGACCCCAGTGATCTCAAAGAATAATTAAAGAAACTGGCAAACCACTGAGAGGAGGTGATCCTGATTGCTGGATTTGGATTGTCAGAAAAAAACAAGAGTAGCAGCTAACCTCTGACTGTTAGAGATTAATGCATAAGCCACTTGAACACTGCAGTCATAAACTTTTAAGATTATATGCAGCATTGATCTTCCTCTACTGCTTATTGAATTACTCAGTGCTAAATTCAATGTGGAATTGGAGCACGGGAAGAATCAAAATAAGAGGAAAGAAGTGGGGGTGTGTTTTCGTTTGTTTGGTTTTTTGGATTTTTTTGATTGATTTACGTGTACATCTCTTATGGTGTATGCAGAGCTAGGTTTCCTGCTTCTCAAAATGTTGGTAGCATTATCTGTTTTATCAAATAAGCTATGTGTTGTCTGCCTGCAAAGTGGTCTTTGGAAGGGGGAGAGGAAGCAGTTAGCTGACAGACAAGGCAGATCTTCATGGACCAACCTGGGTGGATTGTGCTGCCTAACCGAGGTGGGAGGCTATGAGGACAGAAAACGTTCTTTAGACATGCATACCTAACCCATCTGCCCTAAAATCACATCTCCTAAGCAGAAGATTATAGAAAATTACTAGTGGATAAATGGCATTGCCTTTTCTAATATATCTTCTTTAGTAGCTGTGTTGAAATCCCTTTTGAAAAGAGCAGATGTACTGATAATTATGCCATGTGAGCTCTGCTCAAATTCATTCTGTCTCCTTGAAAGAAAAAATAAAAAAGATGAAAAAAGCAATTGTACCATCGGGTGGTATAAAGATCGTATTTGCCTCTGTGGGGCTGTCCTTCCTCTGACTGTCAGTGGGGCATGTGTGTAGGAGAGGAGATGCACCAAGCTCTTGGTTTCTGGAACATTTCAACCCAAAAGGGCTACCAGCCATGAGTGCCTGTGTAAGGAGTTCCTCCTTTGCCTAAGCCACACAGAGCTTCATCACCGATGCATCCGAGGGGTCAGAAGCTGTTCCATGTCATCTTCGATCTAGGGATTCTGGTATTTGGAGTTCTGTCGTTTCCCACAGGATTGAGTCTTGACACTTAACTCTGTCTTGAATGAAATGCAGCAGCTTCCTCACATGCTAATTGAGCCATGTGTCTGCCAAGGGAGACTGGCAAACGCTGGCAAAACAGCGATGTAAGTACTGGTGTGATGATGTGTCCAACAAACGCAGAAGAAAAAAAAACCCAAACCCTTCCTGTATACCAAGTGTTTTCAATTGATGCCTTGAGAATTGTTCTGCTTTGGTTGTTATTTTGTAACAGTTAAAAAAATCCATGGCTATTCTTCTTGACAGCAAGAAATATCACCATTCTATATTCTAAAAAAAAAAAAATGCGCTTTTTTTTATATTTCTGAAAATGGGAAATTTTAAAATTGTTTTTATAGTCACCAAAATGTTTAATGAGTATACGCTGAATTACTGTCAAGCCTCACATTTAAATAATAGAAAATCAGCATTTGTACTGCTCTAATCTGTGCTTTTATTTCAGATTTGCAGATTTTATCAGGGGCATGCTGAAGTTCATACTGCTGCTGCTTTTATCTGGAGCAACGTTAGCATCAACCTGGTTCACTCTCACCTGTCTAACTAGTGTCACTCATCTGCCTTTAACCACAGGTATCGACAATGATTTTAATTCCTATTATTTATAATTGGTATTGCGGGCAAGTATTTACAGTCTTAATACAACTATATTATAACCTGGTTTGATATCTTTAGCAATACAATAGTTTTAAAAGACAAGAAAAAATTTAGAAAACCTACTGAATCTGAAGTCTCTTTACCAGCTTTGACTAACACCATAAAAAAGATTAAAAACTAACAAATCCCAATAATAAGAACCCAGGATATGCATTTAAAATTGATTTTGGGACCGGGTGTTTTACTGTTTTGAGTGTTTTGGAATAACAGAGGTGAGAAATAAATGGAGAAAAAACCAGATGAATAGGAGTAGCATTGCGTATGAGAAATAGTGACATGTCTGGGAATTTAGGGATTTGAAACTTACATTAGTTATTGGAAACACGTGGTGCAGTTCAATCCAAGGTGACCCATAGCATTTTCAGGCATCTAAATCTATCCCTGCGCTGTGCCGTCCTGCCTGCAGGTTCAGGGAACTCTTCCAGCTGTAATTACCTCAGCCCGTGCCTCAAAAAGATGGGAAAAAAGCTGTTGTCAGGAGTGGGGAAGAGCTCAGAGGTCTCCTCGAGCTGCCAGCGAGCTGTACCCTTAGTTGAAAATTAACATTGCTTTGTTCTTAAAAAACCTGTCCTTCACCAAAGGATTGTGAATCTGCACCAAAGGATTAATCCACTTGTCATTCCAAGACTTTCAGCGGAGTAATGAGTAACAGTAAAACTTAGCCATTCAAATTTTAAACAGGTATTTATTTATTAAAGAATTCTGTAAATCCATTAAAGTGCCATCTTTGTTATAGACAAGTTTATGCATTATAGGAGAAATGAAAATTGATTTATTTCCATTTTTGATAAATAGTTTGGTGTGGAGAGTAGTATATAAAATCCTGTTTTACTCAAATAAAATTGGCGTTTCAGTAAGTGTCCTTGGTGCATTGCATATGGGATAACTATAAACTAAAGTGGGTGCAGGAAATTAAAATACATGATCAGTTCAGGAGAAACATCATCTGGACGGATAGGTCAAATTTGTGATTTATCTTGAAATTTCAACTTTTTGAAAAAAAAATCTGTTTAAATGAAACGTAATTTAATCAATAAATCAAATTGCATTGTACCAAATGACTACACTTTTCCATCAGATCTAAAATAAATGCAATAAAAGCTTATTTCTTGTGCTTGCCTGCTTCATCACTACAAGCCTGCAGTAATGTAAATTTTTACAGTAGCTCTATCCTCTGAATTGATGCAACAAGCCAAACACATAAATGTCCCTTCAAGTCTATGCATAAGAATGAAGCAGAGAGGTTTCAAGAGGTGAAAGTCATTACATATGTACTCACCAATGAGCCAAAACAAAACCGATGGAGCTCTGATGGAGATTTTATTTTTTTTCTGAAGAGCTCAGCATGCAACATAGGTTCTAGAAGAATTATTTCTTGTTTATAGCATGTAGGTGCATTATGGTAGGTTTATTATTTTAATTTTTTTTGGAAAGGTGATCCTGTACTGTCAGGACATACTGTCAGGACGTAAAAGTAACGGAGGTATTTGGGGTTTGATATAAATTCTCCTAAACTAACATCCCTTGATAAAAATCTATGGATTGGGCTGCTTTTATCATGCAGTTACTGCATCTTTTAAAATGGATTATTCCTTGGATTGAGTTGTAAATTATGTTTTAGAGTTTTCTGTCTGTGCTGTTCTTATAGATGACACCGTAAATGTTGAACCCTTTTCTCTAAAACACAAGCTTGTTTTGAATAGAAATGCTAGCAATTTGGTGCATTCCTCTAAAAAAGGCAATCTAAAGCATCAGGGCCTAATGTGCAGCCACCATATAAGATCTCTTTTTTCTTCTCTGGCATAGTGCTTAAACTTCGCGGATAGGTTGTGGGGGTTTCATATCAGCCTTTTCTCATTAAAGTTCATATAAAATAGATGTAGTGTGCCTGTTCAATTTAGATCCTTGTATACAGAAAAGCAGTGGTATGTCTTCATGAAATACGCTGTTATGGATGAAAACACACAAGCTATTTAAGCTAATTTATAGGACTTCATGCTAGATTATTCCTCAATGTAATGATGCAATATGATGATGACCTCTGCATTCCACAGTAATTGGGAGAAACGGAACATTTGAATTGATTTAGATGAACTTTTTTTTTTTTCTTCTTTTAATTAAAAGTTTGAAATGTAGAGTATGTAAGAGTATAAACGTAGGAGGTCAAATGCAGGCTGTTGGCTGGCAGCTTTGGGAAGTGATTTTGAGGTAGCTGGTGAAGGTGGAAGTCACTCTGCATGTTCAGTGGGTCAGTGTTGACAGTGGACTTCCGTTTAGTTATTCTCTGTGTGTTTTTGTAGAGCCAGAAGACATGCAAAATAAAAGCAGCCATCATTGAGGTTTGGGGGTTTTTGTAGTAGAGGTCCATGTGACGCTTTGTATCCCAGAGCTTCTTTGCAGGCATGGCTGAACACCTCCTGCAAAGCAGGCGTGGTTGTGTTATTTGAGGCAAACAGTGTTTGATGTTGCCAGAAGGTTAGTAGGCTCCTCAATTTCTTCCTGTCCCATGGCAAAGAGCACCAGTGTTAGGCCTGGCAGTGCTACAGAGCCAGTGGTGGATCTCCGTCAATGCTTTCAGCCTCATTCAAATGCTGAGGCAGAGCAAGTAGGGTTCAAAACGAACTGGTACAGAAACTTATTTATGGGGGTGTATGTTTGATCTTACAAGGAGGTTTTCCCTTCCAACTATCTAGCTCCCATTTTGTGAGGGGCTTTCTCCTCGTCTCTTGCCCTGCCTCTGATGTTTTTTCTCTTGAGCAAGTCAGACTTTGTCCTACAAAACCACAGGTGTTGTCATCTTCAGCAATACCTGGAAACTGCTAAAATATCCATAGGACCTGATGGACTGCGGGTACAGTTAAAAAGGAGCTCTTCCATGAGACAGGACAGTCCATTCTGATGAGGAAGCAGGACACCTCGTGGGAGTCTTTCTGCTGGCCCAGGTGGGCTTCAGCCTAGAGATGAAGGCTGGTTAGAGAACATCGTCATCCTCCTCATCTCACCTGACAGCTGCATGATCCACCTAATAGAGTTTGCATCCATAGGTAGACCTTTCCAGTGGTTTCCCCAGGTCCAAAAATAGTCTTTTCCTTTAGCATGTGGATATTGTGTGGCCAACATGCTTGTTCCCCTCTTCTGAAAACCCTCTGCTGTCTCTGACCTGGTCTCCAGAGTAAGCACTCTGGTGGGTACATTGGCATGGAAGTAGGCTTTTGAAATGCTAAAAAGGTGAGGAAGTTTGGCCAATTATTCACCCTAAAGGAAAGGGAAGAAAATCTCTACAGATTTGTCTTTACAAAGCAAACAAACCACCCCCCCACCCCCCCTTTTAATCAGTATTCTCTGTAGCAGTTGTAGTAATGTCTGGTTTAAATATTGGAGGAGGAATTGTAGTTGGAAAAATGGTCACAGCAAAATGTTTTTTTTCCTGCACTTGTTTGTATAATATTCTCCTAATTCCTTGTAAATAGGCACGACATCATTTAAAGATTCCTACAGAATGTAATTACTTAGAATGGAGACCTTTAATGCAGATATTAAAAATCAATGATTGCCTTGTGTTTTCTTTAAATGATACTGTTTAGCATTGTTTGTGTTGTGTAATGCCTGCATTGCTCTGCATTATCATAATGTGCTCCTTTTTTCCTCCTGCCACAGAACAAGACAAGTTTTCTGTCATTTGCTGACTTCTTAATGTAGCTCCAAAAGATTTTATAAGAAGTGTATTTGGAGTCATGCATATGAACTATAACTGCCAGTGAGGGGCAAAAAAAGAAGGCAAGGCAATAATGATATAGTGCCATCACAGCTACTATATCATCTATCTAAAACACCTCTTATCAGCTAATCACAGCTCTTAAAAACCCTTGATTCTGGAATCAGTTTATATTTTAAGCAAGCTTGAATTTTCTTTTAAGAAATTTTAATTCTAATTTATGTTATTTGCATTCTTCAGCAGGTTTCAAAGACAATTTTGTGTACACATTGCGCATTAAAATAGTTTTCTCTATTGATTTCCCAATGCAGCTGCCGATCTGTTTCTCTGTGCCAAGTCCATTGTTAGTTTGCTTTGTACTGAACTTCATTATGTGAATTTATGTACAATGGGATACTTTGACCCAAAATAATTGTGTAAGGCATTGTAATGCCAGTTTCAGTATCTTGCCACTTTGTATTGCTGGTAGTATCTCTGGATACAAATACTAGCATTTTCCAGAAATTGATATGCAAAGCTGGTTGCTCACAGCTCAAATTGAATGTTTTCAGCATAGCATATCAAGAATATTCTAATATTTATGAGCACATTCAGCAGAATTTTGCTTTACAAAATCTTTTCTAGTGCTGCATGGCATATGCTCTGAATACAGTGGCAACTCCATGACTTGATGACTATATTGAAGTTAAGCAGTCTACACTTTATTTTCAGGTTCAACAGATTGAACATTAAAAACACATCTGTCTCCCTGTCCACATCTACAAAGCATGGTATTGAAAAAGAGAGATGTTAATTATTTAATACTAATTGTTTTATTCTTTGAGTGTAATTTCTTTACTCTAAACAAGACGTGCTTGATAAGAATGAGGTAGGGGGACCCAGAGGATAAAACAGTGGCCTGAAAACATTTCTTCTAGTTTCAGCATTAACCTGCTTATGGCTCTGGGCAAATCATGACCCACGTTTCTGTTGTACTTTTCCCACTCATAAGAAAGGAATAATGACCTTTATCTTTGTGAAGGCTTCTGTAAATCCACAGATAGAAAAGTGCTGAAAGAACTCATTTAAGGGTTTTATTTAAAAACCCCAGTGTTAAATAGTGTACAATGCTTAAAATTTGGGAGGAGCATTTCAGGGATGAATATCTATTAATCTGGCCACTTCAAATACCCATGAATAGCAAGCCTCAAATATCATATGA